CACCCGTGAAGGATGAAGGTAACAGCTGTGAAAGATTAAGGTAACACCTGTGAAGGATTAAGGTAACACTGATAAAGGAGGAAGGTAACATATGTGAAGGATAAAGGTAACATTGATAAAATTTGAAGGTAACACCCGTGAAGGATGAACGTAACACTGATAAAGGATTAAGGTAACACATGTGAAGGATTAAGGTAACACTGATAAAGAATGAAGGTAACACCAGTGAAGGATAAAGGTAACACTGAGAAAGAATGAAGATAACACCAGTGTAGGATGAAGGTAGCACCAGTGAAGGATTAAGTTAACACTGATAAAGGATGTAGGTAACACCAGTGAAGTATGAAGGTAACACCAGTGAAAGATGAAGGTAACACCAGTGAAGAATGAAGGTAACATTGATAAAATATGAAGGTAACACCCGTGAAGGATGAACCTAACAGTGATAAAGGATGAAGGTAACACCTGTGAAACATAAAGGCAACATTGATTAAATATGAAGGTAACACCCCTGAAGGATGAACGTAACACTGATAAAGGATTAAGGTAACACATGTGAAGGGTTAAGGTAACATTGATAAAGGATGAAGATAACACCAGTGAAGGATGAAGGTAAAATTGATAAAGGATGAAGGTAACACCAGTGAAGGATGAAGGTAACATTGATAACGGATGAAGGTAGCACCAGTGAAGGATTAAGTTAACACTGATAAAGGATGTAGGTAACACCAGTGAAGTATGAAGGTAACACCAGTGAAGGATGAAGGTAACACCTGTGAAGGATGAAGGTAACACTGATAAAGGATGAAGATAACACCAGAGAAGGATATAGGTAACACTGATAAAGGAGGAAGGTAACACCCGTGAAGGATGAAGGTAACAGCTGTGAAAGATTAAGGTAACACCTGTGAAGGATTAAGGTAACACTGATAAAGGAGGAAGGTAACATATGTGAAGGATGAAGGTAACATTGATAAAATATGAAGGTAACACCCGTGAAGGATGAACGTAACACTGATAAAGGATTAAGGTAACACATGTGAAGGATTAAGGTAACACTGATAAAGAATGAAGGTAACACCAGTGAAGGATAAAGGTAACACTGAGAAAGAATGAAGATAACACCAGTGTAGGATGAAGGTAGCACCAGTGAAGGATTAAGTTAACACTGATAAAGGATGTAGGTAACACCAGTGAAGTATGAAGGTAACACCAGTGAAAGATGAAGGTAACACCAGTGAAGAATGAAGGTAACATTGATAAAATATGAAGGTAACACCCGTGAAGGATGAACCTAACAGTGATAAAGGATGAAGGTAACACCTGTGAAACATAAAGGCAACATTGATTAAATATGAAGGTAACACCCCTGAAGGATGAACGTAACACTGATAAAGGATTAAGGTAACACATGTGAAGGGTTAAGGTAACATTGATAAAGGATGAAGATAACACCAGTGAAGGATGAAGGTAAAATTGATAAAGGATGAAGGTAACACCAATGAAGGATGAAGGTAACATTGATAACGGATGAAGGTAGCACCAGTGAAGGATTAAGTTAACACTGATAAAGGATGTAGGTAACACCAGTGAAGTATGAAGGTAACACCAGTGAAGGATGAAGGTAACACCAGTGAAGAATGAAGGTAACATTGATAAAATATGAAGGTAACACCCGTGAAGGATGAACCTAACAGTGATAAAGGATGAAGGTAACACCTGTGAAACATAAAGGCAACATTGATAAAATATGAAGGTAACACCCCTGAAGGATGAACGTAACACTGATAAAGGATTAAGGTAACACATGTGAAGGGTTAAGGTAACATTGATAAAGGATGAAGATAACACCAGTGAAGGATGAAGGTAAAATTGATAAAGGATGAAGGTAACACCAATGAAGGATGAAAGTAACATTGATAACGGATGAAGGTAACACCAGTGAAGGATGAAGGATGAACACTGATGAAGGGCAATGTAGTGACACTAAATTGTAATATTCGTCATATTAAAGAAATAAAACAAATTGTTTCCTGTGCAATCATCTCGTTAATCTCATGTCATTTATAATTCACAAGCAGCGATTCGCCTTCAAAACCTCGGGAAAACGTAACAATATAGTCTGTTCATTGATCAATGGTATATCGATCTACAACATCACGAGCTTTGGGACGTTACCAAATTTCAAGTTAGTCAGACGAAACAATCCCAGGGAAGGGCTCAAGTATGTTGGCGGTCAAGCCTGTGCTATGTCGAGTGTCCAAAATATGGTTTCTGGGTTTCCATTTCGAAGGTCATTTTACTTGTCTGCTGGTCAGTTTGGAAAGTATGCATGCCGTTATTTGTACTTGAGATCGACGTGCTTGCCCTTGCGGTAGATAAACGATAAGAAAATTGAATATAACAGGTGATGTTACCTAGAAAATCAACATGGTATTCCAAAACCACATACATGTACGTGTATCTGTATATTTCTTCACAATTATGTATATACATTTTGTATGTAACTTATTTCGATGTAAGTCAAAAGACAATACAAATCTGCATTTCAAGTCACATCGGCTAATCGTAATGAAAGAGAATGACATTTTACAACATTTTAACGGTGCGTATACTTCTATAAAGACCAATATGAAACATAAATGTGTTATAAAATACATTTGAAATTATATGTATCAAATGTTTGCAGCCTACAAATGTATTTAGCTGTTTGGCCGATCATGCTGAAGTCCTATGAAAAATAACAGATAATAGCACAGACATTTATCTTCCTGGTAACCTCACACGCCAAAACTCGGAAAAAGAGGAATATATAATCAATTTGATAATTTGTTATTATGGGTTGGGCATTTGTAACGGCTGATACAGGATTTAGAAAAAAAAATGTTGTCAGAGTGAAAAACACAAAACCGGAGTTTGTTATCAGAAAGACACCGCTCCATTTTGCGATTTGGTGAATCTTTCTGCTTGTTGATACAATTTTAAACGTTCAAAAATTGTTTTAATTGTTGTGATTACTACATGTTTTATTGCTTTGTACAATATTTGGGTTACAGAAAGTATATTCTCATTGAAACGGTATTTACGGTACAATTTATAAAGGTGTCAAGTATGCTTACTCCCGAAATTCTACCGCTTTAACCCACCATTACCTTTGATGCGCCATTATCGAACGTAACGTTCAAAGAAAACATATGTTGCTGGCAGGAGACAGACATTCTACAATTTTAATGTATATGGTTCGGACAGCACAAGAGATTAAAACAGTAAATAAATTAGATTTTTATGAGTCTAATATAAGACATGTAAAATTTATATCAGTGGAAATTTCATTTCAAAAAACATAATTTTTAAAATAAACAATATAAAAAATATTAATGAGGGAAGTAACAAAAATAAATAAATAAAATAAATATCACTTAAACACCATTATATGTTTGATCATGTTAACAAACACCATGTATTGACGCTGTGCAAGGAATATTTGTTGATGCTATTAACGCAGTAAGTGATTTCCTTTATTTGCCTTCAAGAGTTTCGTGCTGCACTCACTTGCGAGCAGACATGTACTGTGTAGATTGATTTAAATATATTTCTTTGAACAATTTCAATGGGATTGGGCACAAGTTGTCAAACTTATATTAAGCCCTTTCCTCCATAAAGTTTGACAAAATACATAATGACAAGACAAAACGACACGTTTACATACAAGAGAGAGAGAGGATATTCTGTTAGCGTTAAGTATATTGTTGAGTGGTTTATGATACTGTGTAGTGCTATGGTAATAAAGACTGATACATACCGATAGACGCTTTGACGAATTATAAATATACATGTTTACACGCAAGTATCATTACTTTACACACCGAAACAAATATTGATTGTCACGTTAGTATATGTATTTTGGAAATCACATTTCACTATTCATTTTCGGGGTAAGACCACGTGTTAGATACAATCCGGCGGAAATGCGTCGCATATATATAGGCGTGAAGTGTGTGCATTCAAGTTGGTGTACTCAAATTTATCGCTGTATCCCCGACAACGAAATATTATAATTGCCGAGGGTACCATAGGATACAGAATGTGGTAACAATATGTTCTCTCTATCATGTTTAATCTGCAGTATTTCTTAATCTTGGATCATGAAGTATGTTTTCAATTTCAGGTCATGCAGAACACGTTTTAGTGGTATCATTGAACAGTGACCGTTTTTTTTTTTTTTTTTTTAGCTTACGTTCAATGTATTTATTGTGTTTTCAAGTTACATCTTCGTCATCATGTATGTAATGATCCAAGTGAAAGCGCACAGCCGGAAAAAAAGTATGGAAGCCTTGTCGCATAATGCTAGATTTTGTATTTCATCAATGTGAGCTCGTTTATTTGAAGTTACTCTAACTCATGTGGTATTATTGTTACGTGTCATGGCTTTTACCTTTTGTTCTTTATTCGGATCATGACTGAGTGGAGATATGAAACATTGACTGAGAAATGAAGATATTTTACCGTGATCTGGGTTTTTTTATCCTTGTTTTTTAGGTGAAAAGAGGCTTAACACGTGGTACATCAGTATAATTGCTGGTATTAGTCTTTACGGTTGCTTATATATATATAAAGCATTTACGAATATACTTTTTCACATGTTTCATTTTCTAGATATATTGATTCGGCTAAGAATCTATACCTAAATATAGTTTATAATTTATAAAACATGCATGGTCGTGTGGTGTAGTAGGTAACGAACCTGTATTTCGCCCAGGCGAACTGGGTTCGAATCCGCGATTGGACGTGAATGTTTATAAGTCACCTGTCACTGTAGGTTTCACCGCTTTTCTCCGTACACGATGTAATCGGACACAGCAAGGTTGATTCTTGCGGAAAAATAAACAGAAAAATTAAAATCTGTTTTATAACATCTTGTATATAATTATGGTGTATCTTTTTATTGTTATTTAAAAAATGTCATTTTGTTTACATTTAATTATTCTTTGTTTGTGTAGATTGTGAAGATGTTGGTGACCATTGTGACGTTTTTTGGCCTGTGTTGGCTTCCTCTCCATCTGTTTATTCTCGTTCTGGATTTTAATCCGGGGATGGAGGAGGATTCCCGGATTTTACCAACACTCACGATCCTGTTTTCCCTCGCCCACTGGATCGCCATGTCCAATAGTTTCGTCAATCCCATCATATATGGCTTTATGAACAATAATTATAGGGTAAGTGAGGACGACTTACATCAGCAGATGTAAACACATGACATCACCTCAGTAGAATGGATTATTTACCTAAGTACAATTTTTCTCCGCTAGACTGCGCTCGAGGTATTCTTTTCCTAACATGATAATTGTGGTTCGTTTCTAGCGATGTAGTAAGCAAAGATACCCTATCCCCACTTTTCAGATGTATAGTACTTCGTTTTGGAATTTATACATTGAAGAAGTCAATGTTTTCAGAATTTTTCAAAAACGTATCACCTTTTTGGAATCTTTAAAAGTATTCGAACAGGTATTTTAAATATATTGATGTAAATGTATGTAACTGAAGGCTTAATTTGACACAAAGCATGAAATTACAGCGAAATTGTCACTGAAATTCGTAAATAGGGAAATAAACGTGCAATCTTATTTCACCTATAGAATATAAACATATCAACTTTGCTGAGCGCATGCGAAAGTACACGAGAACTTCTCAATGTGATACTGGGGCGTATGCGTCTGATTCGAAGCGATGGTTTTGTAAAAGAGACGAAGCTCTGGCCATGTGCGACCACCTATCAGCTTACTATACAGGCCTGTTATTCATAACTTATTTATTTGTTTTCTTTCTTATTTTTGATGCTTAAACATAATTTTGTTTGATCAGACATTATAAATGTAATAGATTTACAAATTTCTTCATTAATTTTTTTCTTGTCGAGGTAGAAATTTTTTTTGTTTTGTTTTTTGTAGCGTGGTCTTTGTGACTCCATGGCAATAGTGAATCTCTCATAGTAAACACACGCAGTCGTGAGGCATGTTACCTCCTATGACGTTAGGTATTATAGGCACATGGCCTGATGAAGAACAAACTTCCTCATTATTCTATTCTTAGATTTTATTTGTATTTCATTGGTGCTATTTTAGTCAGGTTTTTATTGTACATAATTAAACAAAATAACATCCATTAAGTCTGATTAAAACAAAGAACAAAACACAACGTCTATTCTACTAAAAATGTAAACGGACCTTAGCAACCAGATATTGTATAACAAAACCGATTGTTATATTCAGATTGAATTACCCTTGCTAGCTCACCTGGCACTTCCTACCTAATAATACAGATTATATGACATTTCAGTTTTGAATGCAATTGTTTAATAATATAATTTCACAATTTGTAAAAACATATTTAACAACGTTTCGCCTGATGCTAACCTAGTATTAAAACATTACCATCTCCTTGTGGCACATCAATTTATATAGACCAAAAAGAATTATCTCGAGAGTAAATTAAGGCTATCATCTTTGAAATATTTTAATCGTCCCCAATATCGACTGAATCTCGACATCATTATCCAAATGGCTAAAGTTGAAGTCCTGTCTGACCAGTGAGTACATTTGAGTAAACCTTAACACAACGACCACAAGTGTGATTCCACTAGAGACCGCTTCCTGGCCTCCTGCCGTTACCGTAATCAGTATCATGATATACAGTCTTCTCATGATACAACGACCAGTGACTACCTTTCTATTACATAAACCTTTACACAATGACCACTAAAGTTTGATCCAACACAAGACAGCCTCTTAAAGTTGACCTCATGTCTTTACCGTTATGACCGTGGTTACATGTTTTAATAAACAACTGTTTTAGCACGTTTTTTTTAGTTATGTGTTCGCTAAGAGACAAAAATAATCAGTATCATATTTTTGTATTTTATTGCCGAAAGTGAGTTTAGACATACCCAGAGAGGGTTTCCGCTTAGATGAACCGTATCTTATTACTTGGAGCGTGAACACATTTACTTACTTAAGTATACACTGATTGCAGACTCGATACCAACATGCCAACCATCCATCTACAGATAGTCTGAAATCATAAAGTTTATTTTTACCATAGATTTACATGTACAGATAAGCGAATCAATGAATGATAAAACGTAGTCTCTGTTGGCGTCGAAGTTCAACACTTCAACCTCAGACATGGCTAGCCACACTCATGGTCTTGTCAATCAAATCTTGATTAAAGACAGATGTTATTTCAAGAGTAGATCTTTGTAAATATCGCTACTATCAAATACACTATGTTAAACAATGAAATCATTCGGACAAGTTTTTACTCGTTAGATTGGTGTCAAATGGCAAATTATTTATGATTTAACCGACACGTTCCAAGATAAAACGTCATAATTACGTCATGAGTACGTGAAGGCATGAACAAAAAGCCAACTATTAAACTTCAAAGTGTCAGAAATTAAATCGTGTCAGAAGTCACGTCCCTCTTACACGAACATAACGATTCATTCATGACCTTTTACTAAATATTCATATAATGTGTTTGAAAACATAATATAACTAATCATCCCAGATATGTTTAAATAAAAAGTTTACTAGTGTCTGAATTACCCCCCCCCCCCACACACACACCACACACCACCCTTCCTATACCTTCTCGTTCCACACGCGCCGGCCTGATATAGCGCCTTTTATAGACAAAATTACTATGACTTATTTAATTTTCTATAACAATAAAATCGTTCAGACAGAAATCACGAATAAGAATTGCTCGCCATTTTTTTACAATATCTGTGTGACACAATAAGTCTGATTTTTGTGAAAACAGATGATTTTGCAGGTGCTTCCACATCAGTCGCCTCCTGCAATCATGATATGGAATTTCTAAATGTAGGGAACTATATAAGTATTGCTTGTTATGATAACCCAACGCTGGTAATGTGTGTTTGTATTTTCAGGCTGATTTGCGATCCCTTATATTTACCATCTGCCCATATGTTAGGGGAGGAAAACGTATACGTCAGGGAGCTGTAAAATGGAAGTCACGTGGTCATGTGCGAGATGACTCATTCGATTACGAGAAGAACAGCCACATAATTCAAGGATTATTGCGAAGCAATACGGACTACAGAAACGGCAAGACATCGAAAACGATGGTAATAAAGACTTCGTCAACGAAAAGTTTTTAAAGTGTGTTCAAGTAGGAAACAGAGATGTTTCGGCAATTAACAGTGATACTTGTGACTCAGGTTGAGATCCAGACAATACTTCCAAAACATTATCCATTTTTATCAGTGATGAAGTGTACATGGCGCAATCAAATACAAGACGGCACCGGTTCAAGCTGTGTAATACTACTGAGAAAGTATATTGGAAATTTCTTGGTAAACGTGTGAGTACGTTTGACATTATACGAAGAAGGTCATATCTTCACATGTTTGCCTTCCTTATTCGCGATGATGTCTGTCTGTCTTATCTTCGATATTTTGTTCGACTCAAAAACAGTAGTAAATATAAGTAAGATATGTAGTATGTAAGAATCTTCACATTTTACGACATTGCTTTGATATTTAAGGGGAACGTTGATTCTTTGAGGGGTATTTTTCACTCCGATTTTTCCGTAATCACAATGCATTCTCGATATCAAAGTTCTCTTATACCAAATCAGATAACCATATATACACGTATTACACAATTTACAACCCCGGTTTTATTTTCACCGTATTATGGTGTCTAGAAAAAAGGGAACAATACCTTGGAATGTATATTATTTCAAGGGAGGTAATCGCCATTTGAAATTCCAGTATCTACACTGTACCTGACATAAATGCTTTGCGATGTCCAAATGATGATTTGTGATGTCTGTAGTCGGCTCGGCCGTGTCTGTGATTCATTACAGAATTGTAAGCTTTGATGACGGCGATTCAAATAGTCACAAGTTTTGGTAAACATGCAATTATATCAAATCGGCGTAACAGCTTTCTCTGCTTCATCGAGTATTGATCTAGAAACGCCAGCAGATGCAATCATTTGAAATATTCAAGACGTTATTGCAGAATTCAAAGTGTGCTAAATGAAAATGGGATTCCACCTTTCAAAACAAATTCTTCGCGCAAAGGATATCGGACCAAACTTATTTCCGGTAGATCGTAAAATGGCGGATATCTAGCACAGCGATTGGTCCAACTTACCCTAATCAGTGTTAGGGTATTTATCAGAGGAGACAGACTAAATGGTCACAGCGCCCGCCTAAACAAAAATCAGGCGAGTTATTTCTATTTTTTACCGGGTAATTGTTGTAACGCCATCTTAACAATGCTAGCTAGTTTTGATTGATGTCAGTGTGCTGCCAAGGATTCTTTTACTAAAACCACAGGAAAATCTTCCGACAGAAAACTGTTCATTGTGCATACTGGAGTGAACCACATATTAAGTCAACGATTTTTTTCTATGTTTTGTTTCAGAATAGAGAGAACGTTATAATAAGATTGCCCACTATTTAAGGATTGTTTCTTATTTTCTGTAGCTGTAACGCACACCAAGTTAAATATGTACTTACCCCAATGATAATACAAGTCGATACAGCTACAGAAAATAAGAAACAATCCTTATATTTACACTTGGTCACTTTGAAATTAAAAAAAAATAAAAAAAAAAAAAAAAACACCTTATACATATTGTTCGAACAGCCGCCCGCTTTATAGAACAGCCAAGTAAATCCAAAAACACTAGGTGGCGCTGCCGTTGACAAGTACAGTAAACAAAATAGTTCTCAAAGATAAGAGTACAATCAACATGTTTTATGATATTTATTTAAATATTTAGACATCTTCTTTTAGTTTCAAGAATCAATAGTTAATCATTTACACAATATTCCTCTATCATAGTACACAAATTCATTATTTAACACCGCGCAGGTATATATCTATTAATACGTGATGAGGCCACCCTATCAGCTGATTGAAAGTGCGGGAAAACGATGAACATGACACGCCATTTTCTCCACGTGGATAATACTAGTGCGTGTTGTTGAATGTGAACGTGCATCCATGGAAGGATGAGTTAGATAGAAACCTTGATGACATGTTTGACTGGGAGGCTGCAGCAGAATAATTCATACTGAGGTTAGGTTGTGTATTTTCTGACATTCGGTTGGGACATTACAAATAACACGTGCTTCAGCCACAGGTTTTTCAACATTTTTACCAGCCGCGATCTCGGAGAGTGAGATGGACATACTTTTCTGTTGTGTATCTGAACAGGATCGATTGTAAGATCGCAACGACGATTCATTTAATGCCATAAATTTTTAAGTTATTTTTGTAAGGATAGACATTTTTCTTTACTTTTCCGAACGACATAAACTATAATCTCGTTTTGTAGCGTTCGCAACTTGGACAAGTAGTTCTTACATTTTATTTGATATCTATGCGCAAGCGTACGTAAATATAAAAAAAAATATTAACATTGGGTTGGGCTTACTTCATCTAAAAAGAATGCAACGCAAGTGTAAATATTTAGATTAATGCATGCTCATTGTTTTCTTCATTTATTTACTAAACACATTAGTCATATGTGATATTTTTCTATTTTATACTGTGACGTCACAATATGTTGTATGCTGACATACATCTGATGACGTCGTATCTCCGGTTTGAACAGAGTTTGACTGGCATTGGAAGGATTCTAAAATCCAACTGGTACTTATTGTGTTTTCGAAATCAAGTTCTTTTGTACTCGAAAGTGTATGTTTAAATTCGAATAATCAAGAACAGCGTGTATAAAGTAGAACATACACATTATGTATATTTAAGCGAGTAAAGCGTTGAAGTTGACATGGTACCTGCCAACTTTGCTTAATGGCAAATTATATTTTGAAATTTACATAAATTGTTATACTAAAGACAAATTTTGTGCGGGTTAGTTACCAAATGAAAGATATACATCGTTGATATGTTATTGTGTCAAAACATGCGGATTTATAAAAGCAAAATTTCGACTTGAAAAGGAAATTAATTTTCTTTTTAAGTAAATCGATTTTTAATCACATTATAACAATTTTAAATAAAATTCTTTGCAATGGTGGGGTGGGATGGGGTGGGGGTAGTTCAGACACTAGTAAAGTGTTTTAGAGTGTATAGATGAATGCTATAGAAGATCATAACAATGTATGACACAGGTCAAATAGGTTTCCTTCAGTATGAAGATTTGACCCTACTTAATTTAAATTAGAATTTAAAGTATAGAAACTATGAATCTGTAAAATGTTTTGGAAGACATTGTTTCAGGATATCAATTTTTTGTATGAAAAGAGATGTATTACTTGTTTTTTAATCGAAAGTTAGTGATATCCGAATGACATCGTATCTACCAGGCAGTAAAGACAGTTAAACATTTATCGTCCAAAAGTACAATTTAGTAAGCATCTTAATTTCCTTTTCTGACTAAACTACACGTACAAATGTTAATATTATATTTAACTGTAGTGAGATTCTAGGAGCAAAAGCAATATCCAAGGCACGACGTTTCAGAGGAACTCTCCTCACCATTAACAAAGAACAACAATTAGGAAAAATATTTGAACGATTTTTTAAAAAAAGATTTGTGATGCTAAATGCTTTGTATTTTGCAATTGAGTTTTGCGAAAAGTACCACAATAATTGATAAAATGAAACAGTGAAGAACGAATTTGTGTTTATAATATATGAACGATTTGTGCTCCGCTTTGTATAAAAAGTTTTTGTTAAGGCTGTATGCTACTTTACTATGATAATTATTAACTTTATTCCAAGAGATTTGTCTACACAAAGCACGTGGCAAATAAATTTCAGAGATGATGGTCGTATAGCTTCGGATTTTTTAAAATCATGGAACAAAAACTGACTAAAGCTAACGAAAGCTTTGAATTAATATTCATACCGATTTCACGGGAGACAACTTCAGTATTGTCTCTATTATAAGCAGCATACAGCCTTAACATATTCTGAAGAAACAATGACTTGGAATGGACTAAGAAAGCTGTGATATGATTGTGTGCATATGTTAAAAAACGTCCAGGCCTAAATCATAGCATGCTGAGCTTGAAATAATATGTAAGCAAGTTTTCAAGATAATTGCTCTGCCTATTTACATAGCAAATGAAATACCAATCCTAAATATTACAGAAAATAGGTTTCTGGTTCTGAGGTAAGCTTCAAATGTTCTTTTTCGTGATATTCTTAGCTTTTATTTTGTATTAAGTTGTAGGTAAGCTGACTATGCTTTGAAACACAGGGTCCAGATGTACAGGTGATTGCTGACGTCATTGCTGATGCAAAAACCTGTATAATGACGCAAAGTTGATTATTAAACAATTAACATACAAACTTTTGTGTGTTGATTTGTCTTTTTTGTATAGAACCTGTTGGACAAGCAAATACAACGTGTTGTCCCACGTTAAAAAGTTGAGCTCTTCAATCTTGGACTTAGACGAGGACGAGGAATTTAAAATAAATGAAGTTTATATAACTTGTTTTAATAAACTTTTTTGGGGATTTAATTGGTGTGTAATGATTCTTTAAAACAGAATTTCTGGACAAGCCGATTTGGTGTCGTAGATCCCGAGTTCGAATCCTTGTTTAATGAAAACAGTCAATTATCACCATTTAACGTGATTGTACTAGGCAACACTTTGTTAATTTTCTGATTAGTCTGTCTTAGAGTTAATTGTGATGTCGTAACGATACTTCCACCTAACTTGTGATTTTATTCGTTTTACATGAAACTCTATTGTTATGGAAGAAAGCTATTTCAATATTCGTTTATCATTGCCGAAATGTATGAAACCTTGACCTCGGCCGTAATTCTGCATAACTTGGTTTCTGCTCATTTGGTCTTTGATGAATGGATATATTTAGTATGTGGCTGTATTACGATAAAATCCAGCCATAATCAGGTTAATTTGATCGGGTTTTTTCCTTTCGTGAGTACTAGCCCTTGACTAAGAAGTTGTCAAGATTTAAGCAGTTTCCACTTATACTCTCAAAGCTGGATTGGATTTCTGACCTAAGATTTGATTAACATTTATATGATGAGAAGACGTGAATCGGTTTAATTTTTTCCAGGATAATAAATTGCACTTGAATAAAAAAAATCAATGTGTCAGCCATTAGTCACCGATCATTTCCATAGAGCTAAATTGGCATATTGA